TGAGCTTTGTGCTGTGTGAAATATATACTAATGAAGAGAACCCTCCTACTTATATGTTTACGTTAACAAAAAAGTACATTATTTTTTGCAATACACAACAAAGAAGACTATAACTACTGAATGATTAAATTAGGTTATTTATACGTTATTTACTCGCGTTAATACTTAAAGTCATTAAAGTCTTCTTTCTCAAAGCCAATTATTATTATTTTATCTATTTTTTTATAATAAAATAAAATCATTCATGATTCAAACACTGAACTGTACTGTGAATTGTAATATAACCGTATCTGCGTTACTGCAATATAATCATATGGCTGCGTTCCGAAATATTCATTACTAGTGCTGAAAATCTATAGTACGTGACGTAAACTGTATAGAATTTCAATACTGGCAATGAATATCGGAACGCAGCCCATATAATACCAAATAAAGAGTTCTTATAAAAAACATATCGTTTGTTAATTACAAAGAATATATTCCTGGTTTTAAAAAATATTTTAGAAACACTTAAGGATATCTGTTAAGAAGAATTTTATAGTATACAATCCTGTTACTTGGAGAATACAATTTTTTCGGTGTTTAATAGAAATCCATAAGACTGATACATGGCGATAAAAGTTCATGATATATCGGATTCAGTCGTTTTATTAAAAAACTATTTTTGTTTTTTTTTTTCGATAGATTTTAGAAACAACAACAGAGGGGAGAAGCCAGGTGGACCGCCGCGAAATCTCAAAGTGGATCCCATCAGCTCGACCGAATTCAACGTCACCTGGGATCCGCCCGATCATGATTTATGGAACGGCGAGATACTCGGTTATCACGTCGGCTACAAGGAACACAGGTAACGACCGAAAACGGCGCCGTTATTTTAACGACGCGTCCCGACTGATAGGAGTTTGTGTTTCCTCACTAATACATACATACATACACAGACAACTGTCAGAACTCCAACTTCCTGGATCTCGTCCATAGAGCTGATACCATAGAATTCACGCGCCATTAATAAACGACGAGCTATCTCGGGGTCAGTTATTTATTCGCTTACGGCAACGCTGACAAATCCTCGAAAAACTTTACGTTGTTTTTCATATTTTTTTTTTCTGCATTTTGTTGTACGGCTTTAGCGCGCTGTATCTATTACAAACTATAGATACATGTAAATCGATCAATTTTTCATTATTTAAATTTATCCTTATTAAAATCACTTCAATATATATATATATATATATATATATATATATATATATATATTATATAATTTTATTTTTTTTTAAATTTTACTACTATAATTTGTTCTTCAGATATTTATTTATTTCATTATTTTTTCATTATGTATTTCATTATCTTTTTATTTTATTTTATTCATTTTAATTTTTTATTTTATTTTTTTCATTCAATTTTCACTTTATTCAATAATATATTATACTTTCAAGCTGCCTATAATTCCCGACAAAATGAATAAATAAAACTAAATTATTCATTTTAAATTGTGTAATAATACAGTAAATATAAATTTAAGTTTAATATGTATCAAAAAAATAGTCACTTGAATATTATATTACATACAATTTATACACACATTCTCATTATATTTTATGTTATAACATATATATTCTAGAAAAATCATTTAAGAGATAAAATTACTGATCTTTGTGAGTTGACGTTTTATTTTAATATTTTTTTGTTATAACTGGATTTAACAAAGTTACTTTAGATGATTTATAATTCATGACAGAATTTAGAACAGAATTTTATTTAAAATTTTTAAAATTATTGTATATGTATGTGCAGGTCTGTCATGTCATATTATAAATATAATTAGAAATAAGACAAAATTTTTGTATTACACAAATCACAAATTCGATTTATAACTACAGAACGCATCATGCCATGCAATTCTAGTATCGATTATAGTAATATCCATAATTATAGGAAAAAATATCCGTTAAAAAATTGATAGATCTTTAATAATCTAATTAGGATTACATAAGACTTTATTTACGAGCGATAATAGATGAAATTATATTTTATAGTATTCTAATATAAATACATGGTAGGTATACCTATATAAATATCGAGGACGATACGTTTCGACATTTACTTGTGTTTTTTCAATCGTTAAATTAATCAATATAACAATTTGTCAATTTTAATTAGCGGTTGTAGTCGGAAAATTTGTATTCTTCTTATTGATTAACACGGTGTAGTCGGAAGATTAATTAGTCGATATTTAGGTGCGGCTTTGCCTGTATACATGTTGTTCTGCTAAGAGATGTTACTAAATGTAGCTTAATAATCTAATTCGTAACTTTCACAAAATTTTTAATTATAAATATTTGATCAATCATAGTCGACACAAAAAATTCCTTTCGAAATTTGAAAATCCCAACAATGTACTTAATTTTAATATAATAAAAAACGCTAACATGTCGCATAACATAACAATCTAAAATACGTTAAAATAGTCCATTATATGCGACATCAACCACAAATTTTCCAAAATGTGATAAAACACTTTTAAAAACGGATCGTATTCAATATCAAAAAGACTACAAGCGATGGTTTTATTTTTTAAACTGTGTTATAGACCTTCTAAAAAAGGAACTTTATACGAGACATAATAAACTCAAAATAGAATTTTGCCTCTTTTATTTATTTTGCAGATTACAGTTAGTTTGAAGTTAAAATATAATGAAAAAAAAAATTTGAAGAACAATTATAGGTAGTGGATTTTAAAAGTTTGCATCACATTATTTTCTCTCTATCAAGTTTGTATGTGCATACATATCTATACATATATCACGTTTGCTGTATAAATCTATATGATAATAGTTTTACATTTTTCCCTTGTAATCTAATAATAAGATCTCCAAAAGTTTGTCTAGAGAGTTTAGGGTTCAAACGAGACACTTGACACTTTCCTAGCAAAACTAATTAATCACATCAGCCAGGTGTAACGAACACTTTCGCGAAATTTCAGGTTGGGGGCGGAGCAGTACACGTACAAAACCGTGGAAAGACGGATCTCGACGGCGAGCGTCGCTCTCGGTCTAGCAAGAACGTCCATGCCCGGACGGCAGCATCACTTGACGAACTTGAAGAAGTTCACGCGTTACAGTGTGGTCGTTCAAGCGTTCAACGCCCTCGGTCCCGGTCCTATGACGCAGGAAGTTGTGGCGTCAACACTCGAAGATGGTGAGTGACACTGCGTGAAAAACACGACCGATATCCATCTCCGAGTTTGAAGATTCAGACTCCATTTTCCATATTGACCAGTTTAGAATTTAAAACAGTCTACTGAAAACGTTTGTCTTTCGAATCTACATAATGGTATCAAATCAATATCGTTTAATCATTTAATATTATCCTATAAGACTTAATTTCATCCTATAATGAAGCGGTCGAAGTACATTTTATCTCTTCTATAATAAAAGTATATAAATTCTGTCGCGAGAGAATCGATGAAAATAATAATATATTTCGAACACGAACCTATACGCGAATGTAATCTAATCTAATATTCGCAAGCTTAAGATCGAACGTTCGATTAAGCGAGTCCTTTCGTCTAGAGGTCTATTTTCGCGTCGCGAATCTCTTCAAGAATTCATGAATGGAATAATATTCGCACCTCTCTCGCGAGCCTATCGCGAATTCCGGTCATGAATACCGACCTCGCGGTCGCGCGACTTCCAGCATAAATAATAAATTCAGATGCGGCATCTCCTCTCCCCGCATGCATTCACGAATAACTTCTTTAATCCTGTCCTCGTCGGATCCTCGCGCCGAACTCGACGAAACTTTCAAGTGCACTCTGATATTTTCGATCCCCCTTTCTCGACGATGGCATCGAACCCCTTTAACTTTTCGTGCGAATACGTTTTTGAAATATTCCATGCATACAGTCATGTTGCTCTCGAATATGCCATCGACCTTTTAAATGCAACACGTTTTATGAGTTGTATCGTCCACATATTTCTCAGATTATTGAAATCGTAAAAATATTTCCAGTTTAGAGTCATAATTTTTTTACTGAAACTATAATCTATACGAACGAACATCCATCGCTATATGCGGGTGAGTCAAAAGTATATGTGTATGTTTTAAAAATTTGTGAACGTGTATAAAAAAGAATAACAAATGTTCATATGAACATATCGCAAATGCTGCGTTATCGAAATAAAATGGACATAAATCAGCAATAATACAACGATTTATTTGAACGCGTAAAAAATCGTTTTTTTTTTTTGTAGATATTTTATGATACCTTGAATCGTTCCAGTCCCGAGCAGTCCTCCGCAAGACGTGCGTTGCACCGCGCTTTCGTCGACATCCTTGCAAGTCTCCTGGGACTCTCCGCCTGACTCTAGTCTGAACGGGGTCTCGAGAGGTTACAAGGTCATGTGGGAGAGCACAGACGCGCTGGCGGAGTCAACCAAACCAGAAATGAAGATCACCAACGCTCTGACGGTGATGATCCATGGACTTGAGAAATACATGAACTATTCGGTCCAGGTCCTGGCTTTCACCAGAGCGGGCGACGGTGTCGCCTCATCGCCGCTGTATTGTGTAACAGAGGAGGACTTGCCGGAAGCGCCGGCCAACATCAAGGCTGTCGCCAGCTCGGCCTCGTCCGTCATCGTCTCGTGGCAACCGCCCCAAAAGAGCAACGGCAATCTTACCGCCTATAATGTGCATATTCGAGGATTGGGACCGGAAAGTAAATGGCACAGGAGAACCCTGCCACCGTATCAAACCAATTACCAAGCGGAGGATCTGCACAAAAGGAGCCAGTACGAATTCACCGTCGCGGCGGTCACCTCGGTCGGCGAAGGCTCCCAGACCTCGTCCGTCACAATCTCACCCTCCAGTGAAGGTAAAAAAATGCAAAGAAATTATCTTCTGGGGGATGCCGGAGACGGTCTGTCTTATCGACCGAATGCGAATATTGATTTTGGGATATCTTTATTGATTATACAGATCAATAAATCCTTTTCCACGATTAAAGTACTTATAAAAATGGACCGAGTTAGCTATAATTCCATATATAAACCATATAAAAATAAAAAATTAGTTTTGTTATCGACTTCTTTTGTGTCAGTTCGTAACAATATTTATTTAATAAAAAAAAGTTCTGTAGTTTGTCTGTTCATAAGATATATAGCTCGCGCAATAAGAATAACATGAAAGAATATTAGTGAACAATTAGAAGTGAGATTACAAATCTAATAAAAAAGTTATATATTAATATTCACGCATATATAAATTTTCACGCATATGTGTGTGTATATGCATGTGTATATGTGTATATGTACGTTTATGTGTGATGCTAATCTATCGAAATTCAGTCGGTAAGACAGACCGTCTCCGGCATTCCCTTAAGGGGATGCCGGATGTCTGTTTTATCGATCAGATAATTATAGATTTTTCTGCACCGAAATCTTTTTATTGGTTTAATAAAATAATAAATAATGAGAATACTTATTGAATCAGCTCTTTTAATTTTTAAAGCCACAATCTCCACTTGATTCCTCTCGACCAATAGAGCCAAACGCGATGTTATTGCGACAATTATGAAAGAAAGAACATTTGAAGAGGAATTTGAATCCTATGGTTGGGATCTCAAAAATTCCCCCTGTTCCTTCTCTTAACATCCCCTGTAAAGAAATAGGCGAGAAAAATATTGGTCCGAAAGTCGGCTGAATCGGGACACGAACCCGAAGACCTTCCGCTTGCCGGGCGACTGCTCTTCCAACTGAGCTATTCAGACACTTACGAATAAATACTTTTCTCAATGTTTATACCCCCCACCCACCCAAAGCGTCGTAATTAGGTCCAGACGCGACGAACAATAATGAGAATACTTATTGAGTCAGCTCTTTTAATTTTTAAAGCCACAATCTCCACTTGATTCCGGTCCCGATTCAGCCGACTTTCGGACCAATATTTTTCTCGCCTATTTCTTTACAGGGGATGTTAAGAGAAGGAACAGGGGGAATTTTTGAGATCCCAACCATAGGATTCAAATTCCTTTTCAAAAGTTCTTTCTTTCATAATTGTCGCAATAACATCGCGTTTGGCTCTATTGGTCGAGAGGAATCAAGTGGAGATTGTGGCTTGAAAAATAATAAATGCTTTTCCACAATTAAAACACGTACAGAAACAAAGTGGGAACTTACTGATTTTATGTTAAAAACAAGAAAAAATTTAAAAACTAAAATTTCTTTATCGACTTCTGTCGTCAGGTCGAAAAAAATAATTGTTTAATTAAAAGTTCTGCTGTTTGTACGTACAAAATAAGATAGGTTCCGACTAGAAATTGAATGAAGAAGTATTAGTATATTTTTAGATATAAGTTTAAAAACCTAATAAATAAGAAAAAACGGTGCAGAAAATTTTCACGCATATGTGTTGTATACGTGCATATGTTTAGACATGTGTGGTGCTAACCTATCATGTGTATATGTGTATACGTGCATATGTTTAGATATGTGTGGTGTTAACCTATCGGAGTTCGGCCGTCTCTCCGGCATCCCATCATTAATATACAGCCAATGAATTCTCTTACTTTAAAGGGATGCTGTCTTAGTTCTGTTTTACCGACTTTGAGTTCAAGAGAATTAATCTTTTTAATTATTTTAAAATTCTCCACAATTAAAGTACTGATAATAATGAACGGGGAGCGCTGTTCAGCAATTAATTTTTGCTGTTTTATGCCTAGACATCGATTCCGTACGCAAATATACATACATTTAATTCAAGTACGAATATTTTCATACAGACTCCTATATAATCTTATTTTTATTAATTCTATTATTCTTTCATGTCTCTATTAGGAACGTCATATTTTGTGCACGCACAAACTGCAGAATTTTTGTATTAAATAAGTATTATGAGCTGATGCAAGAGGCCGATAAAAAGACTAATTTTTTAACTTTTATTATCTTTTTATATGAAATTACAGCGTTCATTATTATCAGTACTTTAATTGTGAAGAAGGATTTTTTAATCTGTATAACCAATAAAAATATTAGCCCTTGAACTCAAAGTCGGTAAAACGGACGTGGTCAGCATCCCCTAAGAGCAGAATCTTCTAAAGATTAGCATTAGATATTCTTAATTTATAAAAATGCAGACGAAATTAAATTTATTTTTACATTAACAAAAATAAAATACATTAGTTTACACATAGCACACAGACAAAGAAAGATAGTATTGATACCGTACACGCAGAGTGAGCATAGGACATAGAACCTTAAGTACTGAATAATTAAATTAGATTATTTTGCTCGTTACGGGAGAGATCCAAATATACAATGCAATTGGATACAACTACTCGACTTATTGTTAGGATAACTAACATTGACCAATCAAAAAAAAATCTGTGTTCAATTGTTTAATAAACAATGTGTTTAATTGGGCGCCATCCTTTTTACTTCCTCGTAAATACTTCTCTTGAATTATTCAAATCTTTTCTTTCGAGTCAATTATTAACTTCATCAATTCTTCTAATTAACTAAAACCAATTCAATGATAAACACTACACTGTATTGTAAATTTGCAACAGTATACCTATAATCATATACATTGCTACAATATTATATATCGCCTATATAACACCAATGAAACAATTTACATAAAACGACATCTAATCGTTGTTATTAACAAAGAAATTTTAGATATTTTATATAAACCGTTAGTATAAAAGAGAGAAATAGCGGATATTTTTTATTAAAAAATTTGACAACACGATCAATTTACAAAAGGACACAGACAGTTTGACTAATATTTATGACAAAATAATAAAGGTCGTCTAACATAATTTAGCGGTTTCACGGTTATTTTCTGACAATCTTTCGTAATGACATGATGTTCTTTTTTTTTACTTATTGACGGATTATTACATATGAAAAAGCGTTCGCATTATTATCATAATTGTAAGTACTTTTTAATTCTACTAAAAAATTTAAGCATTTGTATCTTATTGTATATGTATGATTTTTAGTGTATTTTACTTGAAAAGGACCACAACCACATGGTTAAAACGTCATATTTTTAAAGAAATGAATAATTGATAGTTTGATTAATAAATCAAAGCCTATATTAACAAAAAATATATTCTTAGTTTTAGTTGGAAGATCTTCTAGAAATAAAATATCTGTCAAGCAGGATATAGTTTTCTTACTTCAAGAATACAATTTTTAAGTATGTAATCTTTTATTTATAATCGCCGAGTAATGATGTCGATATAATCGACTCGTAATATGATTGTATATTCGTAATACAATTAGAAAATTGTACAAAAATGCGAGTGATTGATACATCAAAAATTCGCCCCAGTCACGAAACTTTTAGTTGCCAAAGTTATTTTTTGATACAAATTGGACTAGTTATAAAAGTTACATCCGTTAATTCCATTCGGATAAACATCCGTTTTCGCGAGCTAAGTGAATTGTCTGCAGGCGACTAGAGTAACAAAATACCGAGTGTTTATGTTTGTTAATGAGAGACATGCCTTTTATTTCTCCTTTAGTTCTGAAAGTTTTTCGCAAACTTTAAATCTTCTCCATCAGAAGAAATATTTTCTTGAATTTGTCCCGCGGTTGATATAAGCTAACTTCCAATTAAGTGACCGTGTTTATCGTATTTATTCAGCTTGTTCTTCCCAAGGAGTAAGGTTTTCGTTTCATATACTTTATTACAGTTCGTGCCGCCATATATTCATTCGGTACCGTACTTGTTGTACCGTGGAAGCAAGACGTGATGTTGCCCTGCGAAAGTGTGGGCAAGCCATCTATTATCTGGAAGCAATGGGGTCAAATAGTCAAGCCATCTGCCAGAGTGTCCCTCCATATCAATGGATCCTTGCAAATTGTTGATCTCCATCGAGAGGACAGCGGAAATTATACTTGCTTCGTGGAGAATCGCCACGGTTCTGATCAGATAACTCATCGTTTAACCGTACAAGGTAAATGCTGGTTAATTTCTGTGAAATAATCACGCATGCAAAGCTTATAAGATGAAGAATGAAATAGAACGGATAGTTTTTCTTTTGGTTGATGTATGTATTTATAAACTTCAAAAATATAGTTATTTAAAATCAGATAAATCATTTTAAAGCTTTTGCATACTCACCACAGCTATTTTGACGTCAGAAGCGAGAAAATATACCATGAAAATTCTTGCGATTTACGTTAAAATAAAAAAGTTTTTCAATAAAATAGCATTTGAAATCGATAGAACAGACATGTAAAATATACTGAAAACTCTCCTTTTGTTTGGATATTCAATAAATAACATACATATATGTCGAATTGAATTGAGCCTAACCAAGGACGAAAATCAACTGTTTGACAGGTATCGAAATTAAATAAATATTTGCTTTCACATATTAAATTATGCCAAAATGGGAGTCTTCGGTATATTTTAACATCACGACAATTATTTTAAACATAAAAACACTGCATTAAAATGAAAAATAACGTTGTAAGTCGCACAAATAATTTAGCTTTCTAAAATGTCATTTATGGTATTTATGGTCATTTATGGTCATTTATGGTCATTTATTAATAAACAAAATCGTATTATTTATTAATTATATTATTTTGATTCATTATTGTACATCTTTTATCGATAAAACAATATAGAATTTTATTTCCACCATTTTTAATTAAGTCGTCACTGTCAACGCGGACTTGGCGATTGAGTATGCAGTAATCTTAAGTAATCCTGTACTATCCTTTATCAAAACTGTTTTACTACTTTATGTATTTTGCATTGTCATATCATGTTTGAAAAAGAGGAGAACATCTCAAAACAGTTTTTTCTCAAGGAACTTACAATCGGCGATCGTAATGTGCCTACAAGACACGATCCTTAAATCAATATTGTCTCGCTTTCAGTTCCACCTGCGGTGCCACTATTACACGCGACCAGTACTAGTAGCAATTCCATCAATGTGCAGTGGAAGAATGGCGACGACGGTGGCTCGCCGATCCGCGGATACATTCTGCACTACAAACGCGAGTCGGGCGAGTGGGAGGAATTCAAAGTATCGCACAAAGTGAGCAGCTTCGTTTTATCGCGGCTGTGGTGCGGCAACAATTATCAGATGTACCTGACAGCGTACAATCGTATCGGCATGGGTAGACCCAGCGAGATCGTTAAGGCTACCACGAAGGGTTCGAAGCCGGACGATTCGCCCGGTACTGGCGACAAATTTGTCACAGTTAACGTCTCATGGATTACTCTGCACCTCAGTACGTGGAACGACGGAGGTTGTCCCATAACGTTTTTCGAGCTCGAGTACAAGAAGAGCGGCGAGAATATATGGACGCTAGTCTCGAATAATATAGAGGTATGTAGAAATATATTTTGCTGTATATTAATGGTATACGCAATAAGTCTGTATTCGTTTTGGCTACTTGGAGAAATCGTACTTGGAAGTTTTAGGTAAAAAATTTATACAAATTTATACAATTTATAAAAATTATATACAAATAAATATATAATTTTTAATATTATAAAATTATATACAAATAAATATATAATTTAATATTATATTATATAGTATTACATTGTATTATAATATATATTAGGTTTCATGAACAGTCAAGTACTAACAATAAGGCCAACAACAATTAGAAGCATCGTCATCTCAAGTTATTCGGAACAATTTTTAACAAATATCAAATAATTTGGAGAGGATGGACATAATCATTGCCAGATCGAGGGACTTTCGTCAAATAACGATAAGTGGTTCGTTTGGAGCAATGTATAAGTGTCACTCCGAGTTTTTATTAATAATTCTAAAATATTTTATGAATAACCGGACGAATCATTCTGCTTCTAATTGGGTTCTTACTTTGTTGAACTATTTTAATGGTTTCAATTCATTGTAAATATATTTTGCGTTTTAACATGACTTAACTATATAACTTATATTGACTATGTATTGCGGATTTTTTTATTAGAACTTTATGTATGTATTTATTTATTATGGGTATTATATCATTATTTTTTTACGCACTGAAGAGGAGCAAGTAGAGCTCGAAACGTTTGTGTAATTATTATGTCAAATAAGAATTTTCTTCTAAATAATAAAATAATTTCGTATTGCTCGTTACACATGGCCTTAATTTAATAATTTATCATTGTTTTATATTAGGTTTGTTCGTTTCGGCTACACTAACTACACTAGTTCAGAGATTATCTTTTTCCTTCCAATGTCGAGCAAAAAGACAATCTCTGAACTAGTGTAGCCAGTGTAGCCGAAACGAACAGACCTAATATATATTATAACACAATGTAATACTATATAATATAATATTAAAAATTATATTTACACTTGTATATAATTATAAATTTTTTATACCTAAAACTTCCAAGTACGATTTCTCGAAAACCATTCACTCAAATTAAAAAAAGAAACGATTGGTAAAGAGAATCAAAAGACCTTTAAAATAATATGCCATTCAAGCCCTATTGTCATTTATAAGATTTTTAAAGAAGTAACTGCCCCTAAACAAAAAGGATAAAATAGTAATAGTACTTATACTTTTCTCTCAAAAATAAAATTGACCTCTTTGGCGCATTTTTTCGCAAAATTAGTTGTTCACAAAATAGACAGGGTGGAAACTTTTAAAATGAACACTTTATATGTAGTATTTTGTAATATTGCATTTATTATTAACTCTTTTAAGATACAACTGCGATTAATTATTAACATGTTTTGCGTACGCATTGTACAGGTGCAAAAGACATATACTTTGAGTGAATTACAACCAGGAATCACTTATGACATCCGTATAAGGGCTCACAACGATGCCGGCTTGTCGGTGGCCGAGTACAAGATAACGACATTGCAACCGCATATTAGCACGACTATGTCCGCCATCGAGATCGATCATTACATCCCACAGCAGAACTATTCGGATCTGAAGCTCATCGTGCCTCTGGTGTTAAGCTCGTTCGCGATCATCGCCGCGGCCGGCGCTGTCTTTTACTGCTTCCGCAAACGTTAGAATCCAAAAAATGCATACATACGCAGATTTTTTCAAAGCTACAAAATTACAAACATTTTTTGAACGGAATACAGATAAATACAGATAAAACTATATGAAAAGATATCGTAAAATTTAATTTTAAAATAAGATTGTCTAGAAAAGAGTCAAACTCCAATAGAAATTTTTTAAAAATACCGCTTATATATTTGAAATATTTAATGCAGGTCCTTTTATGGGCGACATCGGGAGTCTGCATGACGCTCAAACCGCGGCCGCCTTAGACAATAAACAGAACATGGAACAGCGCGAGCAATATTACGCCACCGTACGTAAGCCGCTTCGTTCGCCGATACACGAGATGGCTACGTTAGAAAAAATACCAGGTGAGATGAGAGATGAAAGAAATTGAGCTCTCTCCCCTGTCTTTAAAATCGATAAGCATGGAGCAATAAGATCTAAGAAAGATATATATTGAAATTACGCGAGAAGTAAACGAGTGCGATGCATTGTAAAGTTATTAACCAATCACAATTGTGAACATGCTTGTAGAATATTCGGAAGATATCTACCCGTACGCCACATTCCAGCTGGAGGAAAGCGTTCCTGCAGGAGGCGACAGCCGCTGCAATTCTGCCGCGCCTCTTCAAACCTTTGTCTATCACGACCCTCGTCTCTCCACTGCCGATACCCTTCAGTTACGAGAGGTATCGTCCGCCGAGATCTTGTATCGCTATTAGAGTTACTCGCCTCCTCGCCGCACGTTTTTTATTTCATTGCATCACATCTTTCCATATCTCTCTGATTTCTATATTCTAGAATTTATTTTATTCGAGAATTTTTTCTCTACTCTTTTTATCAAATCGAAAGAGCGAAAATTTCGCTTTATTTCGCAGAAATAATGACTTGTATATAGTAATAAATAGTAATAAATTTATATAGTTATATAATAATAACTACATATAGGAGAATAACTATATATTATTAATAATTATAATATATATATATATATATTTTTTTTTAATTATATATATTAATAATACAGTTATATGTAGTTATATATAATATTCTTTATTCAGATAGAGTAATAATTATAAAATTAAATTACGTGACCTGAAGCTTTTTCAATAAGCTGTGATTCTGAAAGTTTTGTTTCTGAAAATATAAATTTATTCGTGTTTTAACGTTAAACGTGCGGAGAGAGACATGAATGATATATATCAACGCTTTTGTCATTCATTCTCATATATTCCCAGCTTCGTTATAGCTCACGTTAGTTGCATGCGCATCCCGATCAGTGCACCGAATCGCCACCCTATATCCTAATCACACAGTCGGCGACCCTCAGCGACCCGCCACTGTGTGAATATTTAGGTCATTCGCACTCGCATGCTCGGTGTGAGTTCCTCGTGCGTCCCGCGCACGATCGATGCGACGTGTGACGTAATTACGCGAATTTTAATTCGCGCGCACGAATGTGTTCCTAACTCTTTTTTTTATTATATTATAATTCGGGAATGCGAACTTTTCTCCGATTCTCAACGACGAAAAATCGCGAAGAGGGTTAGTAGTAATTAGCATCTCATTGCGAGTTACATCGTTGCGACTGCTGGTCCCATCTCGTTTCGTTTCGCAGCTGTCCTGAAATTTCGAATTCGCGAATCGAGGAGTTGCGGTATCGATTAGAGCGCAGTCTGGACCCCTATCGAACGCTGTTCGCCATTTCCGCATCTCTCGACGCCGTACCTCTCTGCTAGCTGTAGCACAAAACTCTCTCATGATTCATCGCATCATTCTCGCGATTCCTACATTGACGAAGTAGAATAGAGTTTCTGTAGAAAAAACGGTGACACACACACACACACACACACACATACATACACACACTTCGTTAACACATTCCCTCCATTATTATATTTAAGTAGAAAGTAAAATAAAATATATATATCTGGAAATACAAGCAATTAATAAATCTGTCATTATATATAAAGAAAAATAGACATTAATAAGACATTAAAATTTCTTACATATTCATGCATTAATAACAAATGGAATATGGTTTTAGAGAAAGAGATTATTAATCTTAAACCAATAATTTATATCTCAGTTTCTGTCAAAGATTAATTAAAGTTTGTAAAATTTAATATATTATATATATATATATATATATATATATATATATATATATCCAATTTGTACATACACATAGAAGAAGTACATTTACAAATATTTAGCTTTTTAAATATATATAAATTTTATTTTTTAAAATCGAAATATTTGTAAATCTACTTTACATATGTATGTATGTATAGTGTATTTGGCTAAACTTCTAAAATATGTATACCTCACGTTAAAATAAAGAAGAAAGTTTATATATACACAAAGAAAAAAAATGAGTGGTTCGGAAGTTGTATTAAATTAATTATAACTAGACAACACAACGCGCGCCTCTCGCGCGCCATTGGTATTGTTTTTCTTTATAGTTTATAATTGTCAAATTGTTAATCTTCGCGATGAGAGTTGCTTGATACTTTCAGTTTAACAATAAAGCGACTAGAGATAAACAATCAGCATCGCAGAAAAGCGACAACAATACTTGCGAGAATGCTATTTTTAAAAAGAGACAATTTTAATTCCCTAATTTCTACTATATATTACATAAATATAGTTTGTCGAATTATTATTATGTACATAATTTTAATTCGCCAAATTAATATTATGAACATAATTTTAATGTGTCAAATTTCTATATATTATGCATATAAATTTAATTTGCCGAATTTCTATTATATACATAATATAAATTCACCGAATTTCCATTATATACATAATATTAATTCGCCAAAAATTATGTACATAATTTTAATTCGCCAACCCAGTGAGAAATGATGATTGAATCAACGTCGATTCGTTGTCGAATTGATGTCAAATTCGTCGAATCGATGACGATTCGACCAATCATTTCTCACTGAGAAATTTCTATTATAAACATTATTTTAATTCGTTGAATTTCTGTTATGTTCTTTAGTTGCGAGGAATACACCTTAGAAGTCTATCTAAGTATTTCGTGAATACTATATTGATTTATTCTGATTCTACATTATTGTGTCTGTTACCGCCTAAATAGGTGAATCGTATAGGTGAACACGTTCGCTCTCCAGTTTTTCGCGACGTCGCCTCACTTCTCGCGTACGAGCAGTAATCTTTCGACAAGCTAAATTATTAATACCCTATCAGATCGGAGTAAATCTTGAGGTCACGAATCTCGATAACGAGCTCTAATCTGAACGATCGCTTCTCGATCCGACTGAGACCGCCAAGGGAAACTAGACGCGTTTTACTGGATGCGCCAACGTGCGCGCCATCTCATAGAAACCAATTCCGTCTGATTGCAGTCGGATTGCAACCGGTACACTAAGGTGCGCGGAGGCCGTTCGTCCTCTGCGCCGTTGCACAAAGCGCACAAGGTCAGTCAGGGCAAGTCCGAGTCGGAGGAGTACGACACGCTGGGCTCGGACAGCGACACGGAAGTCGGGACCAGCAGCCGAACCGAGTCTTCCAATCACCTCGTCGATTCGCACCACTCGGCATCTGCGGCCGACTCGCGCGTCCACAGTATGCAATATTTTCACCTCTTTCTCTCTCTTTTTCTCTCTCACTCTCTCTGTTTCTCTATCTTTTTTTCTCTTTCGCGTTCTGTCTCTCTCACTCTCTCTCTCTCTCTCTCTCTCTTTCTCTTTTTTTATCTCCTCAGAAGTGTAGTAGTAGAATAGAAAAAAACAGCTTCTGAATCCAAAGAGAAATAGATCTCTGTTTTTTTTTCGGCACATCATTAGAGCTCCTACGCTGATCCCAACTTCCTGTTTTTGTTTTCCAAGGCAACGTGCAACTATTGTTGTTTCTCTACGGATATTTTTAGTTCTGTCGATATCGCGAAAATACAAAAATTTGAGGACCACAATATAATCGCGTGCACGCTGTTTGTTTTCCCAGCGAAATTTTATTTACACACTATGTATGTACATGCGACTAGCTTCCTTGGTTGCAAAATCTTGCTTGTCATTCAAAACCGATTATATTATGCTGCGATAAGGATGTCTGACCATCGCACGAGAGCACTGTTGTCGTTCAATGTTTGACGAGGTAAAAGAATGAAACAAAGGAGACACATTTGCTTTGCAGACTTCCTGTACCATGGACCAGAATCTAGCACGTCTACAGAACCCTCACCGATTTTTGAGAGAAAATCGTTTCCTGGAAGGGGAAGACCCAAGTAAGCCTTGTTAATCAATACATATAATTCATTTTTCTCAAGTATCTACATAAATTTTATTTTCTTAATAGATAAAATGCTTATTTTATATTTTAATAATCGATAAATTCAACGTAATATATATAATACAAGATCATTAGATAATTAAAATCGTAATATATAATGAATTCCTCAATTGTCAAAATTTTCTCGAAAACAAAACCTTGTCTAAAAAAAATTTTATTCTACATGTTTTTTCTTTTTTATCATTTATTGGGGGATCCCTTGACGAACGACGAACTTCGACAAAATAGTAATGTCCTTATTTTGAAATTAAAAATATCAGTAATTACCGACTAATTTTCGAAGAATATACTGATATTTTGAATTCCACATTCTAAATCATCCAGATCAAACATCTATGTATTAGAAATCCATGTATACATGGCATACATGAAGGCACTTTTTGCTACGTTTAATATTATTATAGATTTGAACGTAAATATAACATAACAATATATATGTATTACTGTTTTTCGCTCTACTATGCCTACAATGCACGCACATATACGTATAAATTGTAGTGCAAATTATACTTTTATATTAGACTTCTAATCTAGATTTAGAGGCTAACAGTGCTTTTTCTCATGTACTTTAATCCGAGAGATCTTGTGTTTATATTCATACAAAATGTATATCTATATATAAAGCACATAATATGATAAATTGACAGCTCGTCTGTCATTGAGAAGTCATATCGAGATAAAAGTAAATAAGAAAAACTGTAATTTTGTAATTATTTCTCGTTTTTTCATGTAAAATCAAAATTCCTTGGGATCATTGATGTATATGTATTGCAATCGCAAAGAAATATTTTAATTATGTCAAATTAATACGACAAAAAACTAGAAGTGCGAAAAAAGTAATTGATCGAAAACAGATAATCGCGAAGGATCCCCAATATAATCTATATAGACATACATATATCGCTCTTAAGTTACAAATTAAATATGGTCTCTTCGTACATACGTAAAAAAGAGATAAGGAAATATTTGTTTGCGTTCAGGATGTTACAGCTGGCGCGTTATACCGGCGAGGAGGCCCGTGCCAACTTCGGGTCAATCGCCGGGTCTGGCCATCCCAAGCACCAGTCGGGCAATCCCTATGCCAATCGGGAGCAGGAACGTGACGGATCAGGAAACCTGTTCGTCCCCCAGCTGGACCCCCCCTCGGGGTTCTCCGACGCGTTTGAGCTAAGCGAGGCCGAATGCGACTTTGATCGCGGCCACAACAGCCAACGAAACGTCCGTGACTTTGTAATCGCGGTGTAAATACGTATAAAAGTCTCCGATGAGATATACAAATCTCCTGTCGTAAAGTAAAAAAATGATAAAATGTGAAAGGAAAACTACGCGAAATCTATGTAAGCCGCGGTCCGTCGTTTCGTTAATTTGTATTGGCGCCTCGTGTCCGGCCCCGTCAGTCATTTAAGTAACAATCCTTTAGTTCTGCTCGATGGGAACGCGTCGCTGAATGACGTCTCTCTATCAAACTTGACGATGTGCATCGCGAGAGCCACCGCTTTTGTGAAAAAATAATATCAATCGAGATTATTTCTCTCGGATCGGATTTAAGTATATAAGCGCGTTAATACGATTAGGCAAACACACTGTGGCAGATTGATTATAACGAAGTTAAGTTTAATAAAAGACAGAAAGAGTCTATATAAGCTGCCGTTTGGTTCCACTCGATGGAACTTCGAAGGTTTTATGTCGCTGAGCGGAATGGCTCGAGCTACATTGTTTTTGTTCTATATAGTGGCAAGAATATACGATACGGGCGATGTCGCGAAATCGATGACAATTCGCAAAAAAAAAAAAACTGCCACATTATTCCACTTCGTGTAATAATCCTAGTTAGTTAAAATGGCGGCGTAATCTGCGTCCATCTCGGATTTCTTCCCTCCGGCAACGATCTCTACACGAATACTCGCCACTGATACACACATACACACAACACACACACATACACTTCTTCACAGTTTCCTACAGTAATTATTACAATAGCGAAAGTATAAAGACGCGAAAACGCGCGACGACTGTAATTAAATTGTAAAATTCTAATGGTAACTGCCATCTTACTACATATATAAAACGACCAACGACTGCGAAAAAATTTACAATCGACCAAAATATCCGCGAATCGTCCTCCAGACTTTATCAAAGAGTCTAACGAGACTTGTATATGCATATCGAAACGAGCAATATGCGACTTCCGATCGTTTCCTTTGTCTTCCAATCATTCCGGTCATTCACAATCCGATTGAGCATTCATTCATCGCATAAACTGAAGAAAAAAACGCACTTTTCATCGATCTTCCACTTTTTCACGAAGAATATGTTAGTGTTTGAAGCGAAAAGGGGAAGTAATGTAATGCAATAAAGCCAGCTCGTTCGTCGTTGTCGTCGGTGTCGTTTCATCTTACTTACAAGAGACTGAGAAGCATCGTAGCAGGTTTACATGTGTCATTTATCGCGCGAAACTTGCATGCGTATATGTGGGTACTTTTCCAGCAATGTACACTGGATACCCGGTGAGAAATGATGGTCGAATCGACGTCGATTCGTTGTCGAATTGATGTCAAATTCGTCGAATCGATGACGATTCGACCAATCATTTCTCACTGGGTAGGAATCCGACATAACTCTTGACTCTCCTCCAAAAACTGAGAATATCTATGAGACTCTCCTATATAAAAAAAATAACATTATTTAATGCAATGTGCGACCCAGTACTTTCCAACTACGATACAAGTCGACACGATCGTATTAAAATGCTTTTGTGACACTCCATGGATACCAACATTTGGTACCATTTTCTTTTTGCTAATAGTTTTTTTGCTGGAATGGTCTTGCAGGAAATAAGCTTTTAAAAAAACTTAAAACTTTGAAAAAGCTATGTAAAGTGACTGTCCTGCACTCTGGCAATGTCTTGTTTTTAAGGATTGTGACCCCATCGCCTACGCGACTTACGGCCATCAACTGATAAAAGAAGATATATAACTATAAAACATATCGTTTGTTAGTGTAAATTCCTCATTAAGAATTTCAAATTTTCTTTTATAAATTGTAAACTGTCTAAGTTTAACTATCTAAATCTTAGATCCCAGATCTGAGGATACTTTCCAAAAATATACTGTGCATCCCTGCCAAAAGCCTATTTCACCATTGCAGGATAAAGATATAGCGGCGTTCTCTCGCACAGTTGAAAGAGAAGGGAGTATCACGACTAGCGCAGAATGAAAGGGAGAGACAAAGAAATACACATATACTCTCCACTTCATTTCTCCCTCATAACATAGCATTAGAAAGAGAAAGAAAATCCGAATGCTATCACTTTCTTTCCAATATTTAAACAGTCTTTCTTGAGGGATGCGCAGTCTATCTTTATAAGTTTATGGATGAAATGGCGTCCGCACACGTCGCAAGATGCCAACGACTCACTCTGGCAGTAAAGAACCCGAAAAACATTCCAGCTATAAGTTAACATTGTGTATAACTGTGTTCCGTTGCTGGAAAGCATCTTCAGTAAAAATTGGTACAAAAGCCAAGAGAGAAAGAGTTATACTAATACTAGTATGATACTAATGAAAAAAACTGTCGACAGGTGTGTGTCGACAAATGTCATGCGGGAACCTAACCTAATATTAGTAAACAAATTATCGCACGTAGCGTTAAACATAACAACTGAAAACAATAATGTGTAAGCTATCTATCACTACCCGCTATACCTCGCTCACACGAATCGTCCACATCACATTCGCGATATCCGAACCCTCTCCCCTCAGAAGAAATGAAAAAGAGAACGAAAAAACGGCGTAATATGCGACGCGCGATGTCAGCCTACGTCGATTAACGATCGACGGACCCCAATGATGATGTCAGAAAATTATTGCGAGAAAAAAGAGAGAGAGAGAGAGAGTATGTGTGTGTGTGTGCGATCATCGCCACGCAGAAACGCAGCCTCCGTGATACTCTATATGTTGCCATCGAAATCAGTTCGACTGATGCTTCATTCCCTCCCTTCCTCCCTCCGTTGGTTGGGTCATCGTTCACACTCGGCCGGGTGATGATGATTTTTCCAGTCAGCCGTTAAAGTCGTTCGCGCCTCGCTCCCTCCGTTTTCCGGTTGTCCAGTCATCCGGCACGCAAGGTGGAGGATAAAGCGAGAGGAGAGTCGCCCGTTTGATGATTATCGTCTATCTTT